TATATATATATATATATATATATATATATATATATATTCTCTGTAACTGCTGTCTCTTCAGAAGCTTCTGCAAATTATGAGTCATCCATCCAAAGCTGATACAGTATGTCGGTGTGTGTACGCGTGCACACGCTTTTCTTGCAGACACATGCAGCAGAGATGTACAGTATATTTTTACACTGGTGCATTGCAGCGACACATAATGTGTGGCCCTGCTCAGCTCCGCTCGAGATTAAAGCAAGGATTCCAAAAAGGAGACAGACACGTGAAAAGCCTTTGAAATCAACATATTACAAAAGAAATATAAAAAAGAGGAGTCGTGCTCGTATAATTGATTATTGATTTTGACAAGGAGCAAATTAAAATAAATACAATTGCCCTCACAGCTGGGGAGCGGTTGGAGAGCGAGGGTTGCTGGGATGAAGCCGCGTGAGATTCTATTAGTGGCGCGTCCCAGTTTGTTTTGTTTTTTTTTTTTTTTTTTACTTTTTCCGCCCGAGTCAAAGGGGATCTCTAACACGGGGAGGGATCATACGGCACATAATATAGTCCAGGGCTGCAAAAATGATAAACAGAGCCTCCTCTGCTGTGCATGAGGCTTTGTAACAGCACAGGTTAATGCACAGCCAAATGAGTCATATCGATGTGCGGTTTGACACGCTGCTCACAGGTGAGAGGCCGCCATTGATCCGACAGTGAAAGACACCATGAGGGGAAGTGGGTAAACACTTGGGTTTCGACAAAAAAAAAAAAAAACTCCTTTCGCTCTGTTTTTCCCCGTCTTGCTTTTCAGACGGCCCTCTCTCCCGGGTGAGATTACTGTTCCCATGGCAACGCAACTGATTGCATAGAAATTGCTGTGGTTGTGGGCGCCATGGCAACGCATTACACGACATTATACCGTGTTGAGAACCCCCCCATATGTCCTTATGTGGGGGCTTTTTGCTCAGAAATAGACAGACTCCCTCTGTCACGGTTCGTCCAGCGGGGTGTCATGGCGTCGGGGTGGCAACAGGTCGGACCTCCAGCCTCCACCCACGCCGCCTTGGTCTTTTTTTGTTGTTGGCCTATTCAAACCGAGATTACTCCTCGGGGGCTAATCCCATGTTACACCCGCATTACAGCGCTCTAGCCTGTGTGCCGCAATAGGCATTTCATGGAGGCTCGAGTCGTATTATTGACTTTCTCAAAGCATTTAGCCTACCCTGCGTGTGTCCTGTGTTAAAGAGAGGGAGAGAAAGAAGGCAAGTTAGGCTAAAAATATATTCAAAGTCATTACAGATAGAGGCGCGGAATGTTATAGTGGGAGGTACTGGCCGCATTTAAGCCTCATCTGTTGTCTCCATTTTCCTTTACTCGTGAATAGACCTTATTGTCTGCTTTTCCCCACAGTGTTAACTTGGTTAGACGTGACGGGTAAAGCGTGCTCGGTATCGCCTTTAAAGGTCTACACACGCACACACACACACACACACACACACACACACACACACACACACACAC